ATTTCATAAAGTAATTGTATGCTCTGTCTGCATATTAATTAGATAATTTGCATAATTAATAATTTCACCACCATTTCCGACTTTTGGCTCAAAACCTGTATGCTGTTTCAAATTCTGACTTCTCTGTGGAACATTATAATTTAATATTGTAGTAGTGCTCCAAAAACTTTTGAGAAGAAAGTTTCAGTTGAATTCAAATTAGTTAATGACTGTTGGGATCATTTGAATTTCTTTCTTTTGTCTCAGGTACTTGAAGAAGATGAAAATACAGGTATTTTGAATAACCTTAGGAACTCAAAAACTGCTGCTACTCTGCCAGATGCAGCCACTCAGGGTTATCATGGCAACACAGATGAGAATAGTAGCAATGAATCTGTTGCTAGTTCCCCAGTTCAGGCTTCAGTGGTTCCTCAGGACTCAGGAAACACAAAAGTAACAATAAATTCAAATTCTTCAACGGGTGTCTCGATTTGTGAACGGCGGACGCCGCCATCTTGTGAACTTGACGAGTACGAACACAGCAGCAGGGATGACATCAGCAGCTCAACCTCAAAGCGATGAGAAAAGACAAAGGGTCAATAGTAATACCTCATTGCATTTCATTGAGTTTGCGCTAAATATATAATAATATATTGTGATTTTTTTATTTGGCATTCATCATTGTATAAATATATTATATTCTGCAAAGTAGATGCTATTTTAAGATATAATTATTAACTGTCTTGTATTACAAGTCTTTAAATTAGAACATATTATGTAAATCATATGCGCATAATTATACAGGTTTAAACTCCTTGTTTGTGGAGTGAGCATAGTGTGATTATACCAGGTAAGTCTCGTAAAGAGCAATTATTACATGAACTTTTAACTAGGTTACAGACATATGCTAAGGTTGGAAATCAAACTTAAAAACTATGCTTCCAGTTCTGTTGCAGAAAGTATTGCAAATTTAGCAACTAAACTCTAATGTGAAGCACAGATATCAATCCGCACAGTGAATGTATCACTCCGCGCAGTGTATGTATCAATCCGCGCAGTGAATGTATCACTTTGTGTCCAGTGAATATATCACTCCGCGCCGAGTGAACGGTTGCTTCAATGTAACACGAGTAGCTCAAAACAGTTATTGTTGGTCAAGCTTATGAGGTATAGGATAAAATGTTTATGAAGTGGATCTATAAAGATTATTACTGAACATGTACCAGAATTGGTTGCTATGGGAAGTCTGGGAAGAGTCTGAAAGAGATTCCATGAGCAGACACTAGTGTTGATTCTGTGATAGGAAGCCTGGCAAGTATAACCTTTGAAACTCCATGTTGCTTCACATCAATGTCACAGCATCCATGGTATCCTAGCAACCAGAAAGACCAAGACTCAGTTTTATATTGCGCATAAACCAATGTAATAATCTATGATGATCAAGTTTTCTCCATTGTGTGGCGTCATTATTAGTGGCTGCTATGGCATTTGCATAATCCTAACGAGATCTCATTTAAAGTGAGATGTTAATTACATTAAACAGATAGCCCTTGATTTGCATAGTATCATGAGATAGGCACCCTTAGAAGGTTAACAGGGTATTTATGTATTATGAAACTATAATTGCAATAGCTGTAGATTTCACCTTTCGCATATCGTCATTTTTATCGCTAAATTATGGTGCAACATTTAACGCATTTTATGTAATCTGTAATTTTGTTTGGGAATTCTGGATTTTGACATAATTCCCATGTGGAAAAAAATAAGCGGGTTTCCTTTGTGAAAGGTGTCTAAATTGTCACCTTGGCATTCAAAAGGGAATGTGTACTTAAAAATGGCTCTTTATTGTACTATTTTTAAATCATTTGTATAGTTAAAACAATTCCTAGTATTTGTTGACTACCTCAATAATGATACTAAGGCTAAAAAAAAGATTTGTTTCTGGTCTGGATGTTCAAAAAAAAGGTGCAGTGATGGACATTTTTTTTTCTTTTATTTTTTCAATATTTTGGCAGAAACTTACCGGTAACAAAAATATTTGATTCTTCTGAACAGACAAGAAACAAATCATTTTTTTTTGCCTAATCTAATGTGTAATATAGTGATCCATTTCTATTACTGGTAAGTCCAAGTGGGTGTTGTTACTTATTTTATTAGTTGAACTTGGAACAATCAATATTATGGTCAACGGGTAACTTTATACTTTGTTTCTACATATTTTATGATTCCATAATAATATGACTTTTTATCAAAGCATTGGAGGACTGCACTATTCCATGAAATGTGAATGAAATAATGTCACTGTTTTGCATCTTTGAAATTTTGATAAGAAACCCACATACAGATTGTTTTTCAACACAAACTGACCAAACTTGCCTATAAATAGACTATTTGGTGGGATTCTTGACTCTTGTGTGCAAAGCACAGAGTCTCTGCAGTTAGTGTGTGTGTCTGTTCCACTGATATCTCAAGAATCATATGTTGGTTTTTGATGGAACTTGGTGTGTAGGCAGATTTGATTACGTTTGGTTTAAATCATTGCATATTAATTGCCTAATTTGCATGATAATTAGCTAATTTTTATTACTGACATCTAAATAACCACTCTTTGGATTTTGATGAAACTTGGTATATAGATGCTCTAGGACAATGCTAAGACCTGATTAGTTATTGGTAAAAGTCCATGCATATTAATGACCTAATTTGCATAATGATTAGTAAATTTTCGGCTTTTCCACTGTTACGTCAAATACTGATCACATTTAAATGAAACTTGGTAATGGATGCTTTAGAACAATGCACAGACCTGTTTAGTTTGGGTTTAAATCTATGCATATAAATTACCTAATTTGCATAATAATAATTTTGTCATCAATATCTCAAGCTCTAATCATATTTCAATAAAACTTGGTACATAGATGGTCTGTGACATTGCTCAGACCTTATTAGTTTTACTTTAAAATATGTGCATATTAATTACATAATTTGCATAATATTTAGACTTCTGAGAAAAATAAATAATAATTGTTTTGTTTTTCTCCGGTATATTAGTGACCAGCTAATTTGCAGATGGGCCTTCATCCTAATTTGTACAAAATGCATTTATCTGTTCATATTGTTATGTTGCAAAACCTACTTAAACAAAGATGCAAAACAGAATCATCATTTTCTTTACCTGGAGAAAAATCACACAAAGCCCTGTATCTAAAATGAAACCAATTTAATATGACTGAACAAGTTGATACATCAGTCCCATGTTTTGTCTGAAAACCAGTTATATTTATCATGTGTTTTCTAAATTTAAAAATAATGTATATATTTATCATGTGGACAATATAATGAAGTCTTTGCCACGCCAGTTAGTTGAAAACTTGTGTGAGCCAATTCAACCAATATGTTGATACTATGAAATCATGTGACCCTTCCAATGAGCTTACAGTGTAAAATCACATGACCACTAGTGCTTGGAGATAATCATGTGACAATCTTTCAGCCACTTGATTGGCCTTCTATGGGCATTGAATAATACACCACTGTACCTCTTTATTGACCACCAAAGTATGATATTGTTAGAACCACTTTCTCCTACTGCTGCTGTTTTTAGTACTGTAATTGACCTGCCTACCTCGATTCTACAGCCACCTCAGGGAGCAATTGTTCAAGTTCATTACAGGGTTACTATCATACAGCATTGTAAAACAAAACTCTCTTAGGGAACAAGTTCAAGTTTTAGTTTTCTATATATTTGACTGTGAGTTAGATTCTATTTGAAATACCTCTGACAGCCCAAATTGAGATTTGCGTATCGATATGATTCGCGATTTTGTTTGCAGCAATTCGGAAATGAGAGGTTGACTGTTACAAACTCTGAGGGTAGAAAGTTGAAAAAACTGTAAATAATCTTTTTTCTTCATTTAGTTTGGATATTTATTCTCAGGATAATGTTGTTGTATATTTGTTATAAATACAGTTTTTCTTTTTCTTTAATTTTCCCCTATAGATTTGTTGTCTTCACAAGTTTCTGTGTCCAGGTTTTTTTTTTCCTAATGTACCAATCCTCTGAGTTTCTAATGATCAACAGCTCATAGACAAAATTTTAGGGGGGGGGTCCTTTTTTAAACTTTGTAAGGGTCCCGGATTTTGCCGACTAATGTTTATTCAGGTTTAAGTGTTACAGTTGTTGGGTTCGAGGGAATCGCAACATTTTCACAACTTTGTCCTCGTGAATTACCACTTTTGCTAGCAATGAAGATATAAATTCATTGCACCACGTTGCCGTAGATAAGCCCTATATGGCATATACAGCATATGATAAAATGCATTGTTTACAGGAAATTTGGCAACATCCACCGCTGTTATTTGTTGTTTATACGACTCTTATTCATTCTTAATATAGTACATATATTTAAATCACAAATCCTTATGAGTGTGGGAGAAATTACCATATCTTGAGAGATATGGAAGATCGAAATATTTTTTTTTGTAGAGCATTAAATGTAAATCATGTTTGAAATTTTGGTCACATCACTTAAGCAAAATGTAGGTAGTAAGGAATGCGTAGCATTTTTTTTAAAAACGAGTAACATTTTTATTCTGTGTATTATCTTTGAACTGAAACCGTTGATTCACGGTTGAAACAGCAGCTGAAATTTTTCTTGTATTTTTATCTAATAACTATATTTATTATACCGGTAATACTAATTATTAGCTGTATTTTAAAATGGTTAATCTTAGTGTTTCTAAATATGTACCTGTGAGTACTGTACTCTCATGTATGTAATAGTCACGTTTTACCTCAGTCAAAAATCTGTTATTTTTAGAACTTTCTATTTTATCTACTCTGTCAGCTTTTCATTTATTCTGTAGTTATTTTTTACCAAAGTCTATTTATTGCAAAACTGCGGTAGTTTTTCTGTGAATTGTACTTGCCTTTTGCATGAATGTGTTTACTTGCTTTCACTCGCTCACACAGCTTTATGATGTATACCACAATGCAATGTTACCCATAATGCCCTTGGGGGAACTGGATATCTCCATGTTTTATCACAGACTTCAATCGGTGATGTTCACCGAGTTAGATTTAGCTATCCACCTCAAAATTTTAAATTTTGAATTGGCATATCATAGATTATAGATGTGATCATTAGAACGAAAAGCAAGCACTTGTTCTTGCAAAAAGAGTTCTTGCTCATCATAGTAAGGATATATATGAAAACGATTAGGCCTCAAAGCAAAAAATAATGTTTCTGGTTTGATCAATTTTGTATTTTCCCTCTTCTTTATCAGTCACCTGTCTTGACAAATTGATTAAACCAACAAAAATTTTTGTGCTGTTAAATATATTTTAGCAAAAAAAAAACAATACTGACCAGAAACATTGTTTTTTGTGTGGCTTTGTATTACTTCAGGTAGCAAATGTAATGGAACATGTATCTTTCAGTTTCACTGGTAACCATGGAAATATACTAAAAAATTTTTTGCGTGTAACAAGATTGTCTCCACAAATTTCTCAAGACTTTTCCTTTTCATATTACGAAAGGAATTACACACTACAAACAAAATCTTCACTTTTGTCATAATTT